TTTTTCAAGACTGTCGCACACGCATATATATATATATATATATATATATATATATATATATATATATATATATATATATATATATATATATATATATATATATATTGGGGGGGGGAGAGCCAAACTGAATGTTCGCCCCGGGCGCCGGGAGGGGTCGCTACGCCTCTGCACATACGGGTACATGTATATGTGTAAGCTTTAATCACTGCAGACTTTAAATAACGATGATTATCTAGAGTCTGTACATTTTGTACATTTTTGCCTTGGTCTCACCCCCCCCCCCCCCTAAATGGTGCCACCCGTTGCGGTCCGCAAAACTCGCTACGCCTCGGCTACCCCCCCCCCCCCCCCCACCCCCCCCCACCCGTGTGTGACATCATTTATTGACAATCCCCGCTACTACTACTAAATGTTAGGCTCTCTCTGTCAGTTTGTTATACATAAGGTCAGTGGCGTAGCGAGGTCGCGTGTCACCCGGTGCGGCACTTAATGGTGTCACCACCCAGAGGCGTAGCGACCCTTCCCGTGGACAAACTTTCAATTTTCGATTTGCACCCCCCTCTCCCACTCAAACTTTCGATTTGCACCTCTTAAAAGAAAATTTAACACTCGAATTAATTAGGCCTTCTTAATTAAGTGGAATTATCATTTTTCTCAATAAAATATTTTTCTATTTTTTGCCTTGGTGTCACCCCCCTAAATGGTGTCACCCGGTGCGGTCCGCACCCCCCTCGCTACGCCCCTGCATAAGGTCTAACTAGAGTCAAGATCTAGTTCTTTTTCACTTTTTTTCCAAGTTAGCCAATGATTTTTCCCATCATAAACTGAAAGCATTGCGTTCTAGAACGTAGAGCGTAGAGCGTAGAGCGTAGAGCGTAGAGCGTAGAGCGTAGAGCGTAGAGCGTAGAGCGTAGAGCGTAGAGCGTAGACCGTAGAGCGTAGACCGTAGACCGTAGACCGTAGACCGTAGACCGTAGACCGTAGACCGTAGACCGTAGACTATAGACTATAGACTATAGTATATATATATATATATATATATATACATATATATATATATATATATATATATATATATATATATATATATATATATATATATATATATATATATATATATATTTATATTTATATTTATATTTATATTTATATTTATATTTATATTTATATTTATATATATATAAAAATATATATATAGTTTATGCAACTAGTAATTAAGCGAGGTAGCGTAAGTATTTTCACTATTTAGGGACAATGACAGGTACAATGGACGTTTCGACCCAAGGTCTTCGTCAGCAAACAAAGGTGTAGTCAAAGAGTAGACAAAACAGACAAAGAGTGACATACATTTTGAATTACCTCGACAGTGAAACACATCTTGTTTAAAGGCCACGGTAAGTCAAGACGTGCTTACGAAGACCTTGAGTCGACACGTCAATTGTACCTGTAATTGTGTATTTAAAGTATGTGTGTATTATGTTTTGTTCTCTTATAATATCTGTCGCGTGGTAATCTGTCACGCTGCATATTTTACAATCAATAACCAACAATATGCAGCGGTATAGGACTAGATGGTATAACGTTAAAATCACTGTTGACGTATGTCTGACTTGAATCCTCCACGGCGGCCTAAGAAAATAGTTCCAACGGCAACAGCATATTCATTAAATGAAAGTTCAATCATTTGTTTTTGTTATATTAGATACATCTAATTTCACTATTTTTAATTAACTTTATTAAAATATTTCTTTGGAAACAACTGATTAAGGGGAGGCAATGAAATTTTCTGATTCTCTATATTTGGACAGCCTGCTTTTTCTAACTTTTAGTGCATCTAAACTTGGAATGTATTTATAACTTTAATGCAGAAATGGTTAATATTTCTCTTACTCTATGCCAGGGGTCTCCAAACTTTTCAGCCCGAGGCGTTGAAATATCACTTTCTGTTAATATTGCTATTTCAGCCCGAGGGCCGAATTAGCTATCAAATTTCAGTTCGGGGGCCAGTTTCTTCCAGGCATGTCTTTGATTTTTCTGGGCAAAGTTCCTCAGCCATCACCAACAAACGATTTTTCCGTGGACAAAAACATCTCCGCAGGCCGGACGAGAGGACCTCGCGGGCCGTAGTTTGGAGACCCCTGCTCTATGCTATACGAAGTCTACCGGTGTCTGCGATTTTTCTGTATACTAATTTGTGCAATATTTTCGTTTTAAAAAGTGGTAGGTTGAATTGGGGGACAGAATAAGCTTTTTTTTTTCAATTTATAATAACAAAACTATACTTCACCTGCTATATTTACCGTCAGTTATGAGAAGGTAACCTTTTCACATTAACAAGTAGGTCTAAGTTATTTTTTTTTAAAGAGGGAGCACAGACGCATTCTATTTTTTTACTTAATGATGTATGTCTTGTGCGCACATTTTTAAAATGTTTAAGTATTTTATTATGTGGGCGCGGGTGTGTATTTAAAATATTATTTTACTCTCCAAAAATTATATTTGAGCCATGATTCCACACTTTATATGGGAGAAAAAAACGTAATACATAAAGGAAAGAGTTTAAAAGAATATTTGGCCTACTAAATATACTGGATAAGTAAACATTAGTGAAACCAAAAAAGTTCCTGTTGTTCAGATTTTGATTTCGTTATAAAATCAAACAAGCCACAAAAAAGTAATTGTGACCAGGGGTCGGGAAAGTCCAGCGCTATACATCTGAGAAACATAAATGTCACTAGGGTGTTGTCACATTTACGTTTGACGTTTCTTTCACCTGGTAAATATAACTTTCTCTATAGATAAATTAACAGATTTAAAAAAAAAAATTTATCAATAGTTTCTGTAAAAAAAAATGGTTAGGGTTGTATCTAATTGTTGTCTTGATAAAATGAACTTGCTGTAATCAATTATTTTCGTTAGAAAAACAGTTTCAAGTTTTACATTTACCTATAAATACTGACATATCCCACTCTTCATCCCTACACTAACGTTCACAGGCTTTCAGTGTTTCAGTTAAATGACAAAATGTTGATGTTGACAAACGATCAAGAATTAAATTTATTATTTTTTACCTGAAATCAGTTTAAAATAAACCTAAATTTTTACCTACAAGCAAGCCACAGACAAATAATAAATTAGAAATCGCCTGCATTGCATTGTTAAAAATAAAAGGCTGTGATTTTAGTATTGAAGAGAAAATATTTAAGGTATTACTTGTAACTAGTGTTGATGCTAGAATAAAAAAAAAAAGAAGCCAACTCATTATATTACTTGTGCCAAAATATAATTTAACTAAAAAGAAACATGGGATATAAATTAATATACAAATACAAGGGAAACTACTAATTAAATCTTATGAGCTTTACTTTTAAAAGTTATCGTTCCTGGACTTTCACCAACACACAAGGAACGGTGGATAGTTCAAGGGGAAACGACTGTGATAATAATTTAGATAAGTGATATATTTAAGTTTCCTCCCCTGCATAGTTCAGATTTATTGCACTGTATCGGACATAAGTTTTTCTTACTGGTAGATTTCATTGGACCGTGAAGAGATCATTATCGCGTGAATATTTAAATACAGGACTTGAAGTCGATGCCCTAGCACCAAAATCCGCTAACCTCTGCACTAAAGGGTCGTCCAAAAATGACGTCACACTCGTAGAGGGGAGGGGGGGGGGGGTCCGTAATTTTGTGACGGTGTGTGATGAGGGGGAGGGGGGAGGTTCAGATGGTGTGACGTCACACTTTTGCATTATAAACAAGCAATGTTAGAAAACGAGTTTTAGCCGTTAATTCGCGTTTTAGAAAACGGTTTTAATAAAATGTAATAAGAATTGATCGAAATGCTCTATGTTGACAGTTCTGACAAGATTTTGGAAAAATTTCGATGTTTTAAGAAAAATTCAACAGCAATTTTGAGGGGGGTTGTAGGCTGATGTGTGACGTCAATTTATTAAGGGGGGGGGGGGGGTAAGGCTTTTTGTGACGGCGAGCGAGTGACGGAGGGGAGGGGGGAGGTAAAAATCGTCCAAATAAACGTGACGTCATTTATGGATAACCCCTAATGAAATAATGGACAAATATAATCACACATATATTAACACTTTTTAGCATAAAATGTCAACCAAACGTATGATATTAGGTTTAAATATATGTGTCTGACACAATAAATTGTGTATTACTCTATCACGTAATAAGTCAATCTACGTGCTGTGTTTGTAAATCAACTGACGTGCTTGGCGTATACACACACGTACACACACACAAACACACACACACACACACGTACACACACACACAAACACACACAATTATGATAATTTTACATGTCGCAAGTTTTAACCGTAAGTAAATCTATAAAACACATGTACATTTTACTTAATTTCTTTTCACCAACCAGTCTGTTTTGCGTCCCGGATTATTTAAATTTTAGATAAAAATTAGAGAACTTAGAAATAAAACAAATGTAGAGTTGGTTTATATAAAAACAATCTTTATATGGAATGTTTATTCAAATGTTATTTCTATATCTTAGAAACTACTATTTAAGTAGTCTATTTATAGGAAACAACCATGCTGTATCTAGATTGATGTATCTATAGTAGTACATAACTGTATTGTAATGATAAATATGTTGAAATAATAACATGAATAATGCTGACTGAATCAGCACCGAGGGCTGACCAATCAGCACAAAGAACTGACCAATCAGCACCAAGGGCTGACCAATCAGCACCAAGGGCTGACCAATCAGCACCAAGGGCTGACCAATCAGCACAAAGAACTGACCAATCAGCACCAAGGGCTGACCAATCAGCACCAAGGGCTGACCAATCAGCACCAAGGGCTGACCAATCAGCACAAAGAACTGACCAATCAGCACCAAGGGCTGACCAATCAGCACCAAGGGCTGACCAATCAGCACCAAGGGCTGACCAATCAGCACCAAGGGCTGACCAATCAGCACCAAGGGCTGACCAATCAGCATCAATGGCTGACCAATCAACACCAAGGACTGACCAATCAGCACCAAGGACTGACCAATCAGCACAAAGAACTGACCAATCAGCACCAAGGACTGTCTTTAAAAATGTGCAGCTCGTTGATCAAAACATAAGCAAGTATTGCACCAATCAGCGCGCCGACCTGGGTACTTCCGCCTGTCCAGATTAGTGACGTCCTCCCCTGACTGCGCATGACACTGGCGATGGAAACTTTGGTGAAGACGTTAAAAATTGTACTCATCACCCAGGCTGCTATCTGAAATTTGTAAATATAAATGGGAAAGAGAGCGCTTAGATAAACAGTCCATTGGGCACAAGAAGTAGATTTTGTCTGTTTCTTTGACTTGAGCAACTCAAAACAATAATCCCAACAATAGCTAGAACTTTTAATCAACTATAACTCACCACTAGAATTCCACTGATAGCTAGAATTTTAATTATCAACTCACCACAAGAATCCCACCAATAGCTAGAACTTTATTAACTAACCACAATAGGGCTGGTAAGTAGATCACCAACCAGTTCTACGGCTTAATAAAACCTGCATGAGCCATAGAACTGGGTGGTGACCTACTTACCAGCCCTATACTCCCACCTAGAACTTTAAATTAACTATAACTCACCAATAAAATCCCACCTTTAGCTAGAATTATATGTATCAACTCACCACGAGGATCCCACCTTTAGCTAAAACTTTCAACTATCAACTCACCACGAGAATCCCACCAACAGCTAGATTTTTTAATCAATGATCAACTCATTACGAAAATCCCACCAACAGCTAGACCTCAACTATCAACTCACCACAAGAATCCCACCGATAGTCTCATGAACCAGAAATGGATTTGGACTCATCGATGCCACTGTGATGATGTAACCTGTAAACAACGTCCCTAGCAACGTCAAGCAGGAAATGACGCGCAGGGACTTGACCCTTATCCACATGGTCAAGAAACAGGCTATGGGGTCAACTATGTTCTCTGCCTGGAATTGAGGCGATGTGTGAAGAGTTTTATTAATGTGTGTAGTGTGTAGTGTGTAGTGTGTAGGTTAGAAGGTAGCATTGATAAGTAACATCAATCAGATGTATGACAATGAAATCCCCTTCCACCATTTTCACAATCTGAAGCTCAGTCCAGTGGCGTAGCTAGGATTTTCGGGCCCCTATGCAAAAAGTGTTAGTGGGCCCCTTAGAGGCGTAGTGACCCTTCCCGGCGACCGAAGACAAACTTTCGATTTGCACCCCACCCCTCAGACTTTCGAATTGCACCACCCCCCCCCCCTCAAACTTTTGATTTGCACCCCCCCCCCCCCGCAGACTTTCGATTTGTACCCCTCCCCCTCAGACTTCCGATTTGCACCCCCCCCCACTCAAACTTTCGAAAAAGGGCCCCTATTTGCCTTGGGCCCCTATGCCTTGCTTACGCAAGCTTTACGGTAGCTACGCCACTGGATCAGTCTAAATCAACTTAAAAAATAAAATATAACATAGACCCATTGCACATGTTCACATCATTTGGGACAATTCTAATGAGTTTTGATATTTTTGGGTGTTTTTAGAGGCATTTTAAGAGCCCAAATTGTTTACAAGAACTTAAACAAATGTTATGTGTTAATAATGTTTACATTTTACTTAAAAACTGACTCATTCATAACCTCATAGTTCTTTATGTTTAGACATTAAAATAAACCTTTAACATACGGGAAAAAAAAGAAGTTTTTATGTTAAAGGTTTAACTATACAAGCAGTACTAGCTTAAGCAATTTAGACAGTGGCGTAGCCAGGATCGTCTCAAGGGGGGGGGGGGGGTTCCAATTTTTACCCGGGGACAAACTTTCGATTTGCACCCCCCCCCCCCCCCCACCCCTCAGACTTTTGATTTGCCCCCCCCCCCTTCAAACTTTCGATTTGCACCCCCCCCTCAGACTTTATGACCCCCCCCCTCTGCCTACGCCACTGAATTTAGAAGTAACTAGACCACCCAGTTTCTTGTTGGAATATGATTTGTTGGCTTCAATGCACAACGCAAAACAATATTCCATTACGCATATCAAGCCTCTTATAAAAACTTATGTCTAATGAATGCCTGTTCTTACCCGATTTACCGCAATAAATGAATTAAGGGGGGGGGCATAGGGATGATATTGTGGTGCGTTGGTGTGTAACTAGAATATCTTACCTTAGTAGCGCCATTATAAAACAATAGACCGTACGGGAGACTTGAATAGACCTGAATGGCCAAAGCAAAGCTAGTCTGTAGGACGTTGATCCAGGCTAGCAGGGCAAGTAGGTACCAGGACTCGTGCATGGAGAGTTTCCCATTTTGATCCGAGTCGTCTTCAGCTGGCTCTACACTCGGAGATCTTGATGGCTCCAAGGTGTCTCTTGTTGTTGGCTCCGTGTTGTCTCTTGTTGTTGTTGGCTCCGAGCTGTTTGAACGTGTTGGCTCTGCGCTGCCTGAAGTTGACGGCTCCACGTGAACTGAAGTTGCTGGACCCAAGCTTAACGATGTTACACAAACACAAGTTTCATCACTGTCTCCAACACCCCCCGTTTGTTTAGCAGTGTGTTTTGTTTGCTCCGTGTTTAGGCTAGCACTCATTGAACTGTCTTCTGTCATGCTTTTGCTAGACAGCTCATACATATTCAAATGTTCGCTCTTGAAACTACATTCAACAATGCCATTTTTTAATGATTTGTTTTGATTGTTTCTGAAACTGCTATTATTTCTTTGAATATTTCCATCTGCATTGCTACCATGAACTAAGTATTTTTCGGATTCTGTTGTTGAGTCTGTATAATTGTAGGTGCCTATAGAAGAATTTTTAGAGATCTGGTTTTCTACAAGGACATCAACAAATGTTGTAGAAGACAATGATTCGTGCTTGCTTTTGTTGTGTTTTGCACTGTGGATGATAGAAAAAGCCTGAGAGATTTTTAAGAAACAAAAATAAGTTCAAGAAATCAAGTGACTAAAACAATCAAAGAACGCAGATAATCAAAAGAAAGACATGAAAAATCATGTAGCACTACCTTATTAAACAGATGCAACATTTAAAGCTGAAGCCTTGTTGTTGTTTTTTGAAGAATAGAATACATTAAGGAAATCAAGAGACTAAAACATTCAGATAAAATAGATAATCAAAAGAAAGACATTAAATGAATATATCGCTAATGCATACAGCGTTGTACCATTTAGTATTTTGATATAGCTGCTTTCAAATCTAATTATCATTTGAATAATCTCAAACTGTAAGCTAAAACGCCTAAACCAAATTATTATTTATGTGGGTTAATTAACAGTATGTACTTCTACCTTCGTCTTGTTAGGGCGCTGAATAGTAATGCAAGTATTGTTTATTTAACAGTAACGTAAGTAAATATGCTTAAATACTTAAAATTGGTAAATTTATCAGAATTCTGATATACAGATTTTAATTAAAACTGTTCAATTTCCTATTTCCATCTTATCCTTCAACCTCGCCTAAGTTGTTATTTCAACATTAGAGAATGCCTAAATTTTTAGCAAAACAATGAATTTTAAAGCTTCTTTTCTTGGAAATCCACTTTCCAGCGGCGTAGCTACCCCTCCCTGAGACAAACTTTCAATTTGGCGCCCCCCCCCCCCCCCCCCCAATATATTTTTTAATGTTAATAATTCAAAACTGCAGCTAAAATGAGCTTTTAATTATTTTTTCTAACCCATTTTGGCGCCCCGGGGACAAATGTACCCACAACCCACCCCTTCGCTACGCCTCTGCCACTACCATATTAAAGACACAACCGTCTCACGTTTTAGATTTCATGAGCTGGCAGTTCTCCTCCTTGTCCGTGTCCACGTGTTCGGTCAAGCAGTAGGGATGGTAGACGAGCAGCCCGAATGCCAGCAGCGACACCAACCCCATTCCCGCCAGCATCAGGAAGAAAGCCTGGACAGTGAACGCCGGCTCTTCGTTGACCGCTAGCAAGCTGGACAGTGTTGTTGTGTTGTGTTCAACAGGACCATACCCCGTGCCGTTAAGGACATCAGCAAGAGTTGTATCTGTAACAAAACGCGAGAAGGGCTACTTAGAGAAAGGTAAAAGTAAACATAGATTGCCGGGTCCTGGTTGTTGATAAGGAAAGTATAAAGATTTTCCTGTTACACACGTTTCCGTAACTTTGTATGTCGTGTGACATTGTGGTATTTAATTACTACACCGAGCTGTATTTAATTACTACGGCAAGCAGCATTTAATTACTACCGTGAGCCACATTTAATTACTACCGTATGCTGTATTTAATTACTACACCGAGCCGTATTTAATTACTACCGTGAGCCGTATTCAATTAGTACCGTGAGCCGTATTTAATTAGTACCGTGAGCCGTATTCAATTAGTACCGTGAGCCGTATTTAATTAGTACCGTGAGCCGTAATTAATTACTACCGTGAGCCGAATTTAATTACTTCACCGAGCCGTATTTAATTACTACACCGAGCCGGATTTAATTACTGCGGCGAACCGTATTTAATTCTTACCGTGAGCGGTATTTAATTACTACCCCGAGGTCAAGCCGCATTTAATTTTCCTAACGTAGGTCAGGTACCCGAAAAACTAAAAATAGGTTATCTATTGGTAATTCATCGGAAGTCATATATACTCAAGCAAATGATTCGAACTCGAGACTTTCGGGTTAGTTATCATGCTCTCTACTGCCTTGCCACGTTGACCCAAAGGATACAAAACTATCTCAATATTTTATTTTTCATGTACAAGCTAATACCTTCTGTTGTAAATGTATATGTATTTATTAATTTTCACATAAAATAATAATTACAATTAACATGATTAGACTGGGAAAACTTAAAATTACACTAGTATATATCTATAAGACAACAAGCGCTACTAATCTGACAACAATAATAAATTATTTTCTGCCCTATCTATCACCAGCCAAAAAATGTACCTGCAAAAGCTTCAGCAATGTCTATAGGCCTCGCTGTTGTAGAATAGTTGTCAACACATCTGCAACAAAAGAACGATGTTAAGGCTAACTTGACCACACTTTATCAGTCATGTGACTGTCAATGGCGTTAGTATTCACATAGCTCATATCTGAGTTGTAAATATTTTAGATATGTGTTTAGTGTAAATAGATTCAGTTTATAGACCTACGCTTTCTGTAAATATATTCAGTTTATAGACCTACGCTTTCTGAAAATAGATTCAGTTTATAGACCTACGCTTACTGTAAATAGAATTAGTTTATAGACCTACGCTTACTGTAAATCCATTCACTTTATAGACCTAGGCTTATTGTAAATAGATTCAGTTTATAGACCTAGGCTTATTGCAAATAGATTCAGTTTATAGACCTACGCTTATTGTACGTAGATTCAGGTTCTATTTTATTGAGTTTTATTTTATCTTAACCCCCAAACCACATGAACCGTAAGAAGGGCTATGCGTAAACGAAAATACTGCGCCATTCATACTTTATAAAAATATATTATGCTTTTTTATCTAGGTTGGACAAAGGCTATGGAAGCAAATCCAAAAAGTAAAAGCAAGCTGAAATTGGAGTCAACGGCTTATATGGCGCATAACCTGTTGACACGAAATACTTTATTGTTTTGGAGGGAATGCCTTCCAACCCTAGAATTACGAACGAAGAATAAGAAAGATACCCCATCTCAAAACGTCACACTATCTGTTCCGGGACTTAAATAAAAGCAGGCTGAAATCAGTCAACGGCCTATATGGCACATATTTTGTTGACATGTAATACTTAATTGTTTTAGAGGGAATCCCTTCCAACCCTAGAATTACGAACGAAGAATAAGAAAGATACCCCATTTGAAAAACGTCACACTAACTGTTCCAGAACTTAAATAAAAGCAGGCTGAAATCAGAGTCAACGGCTTATATGGCGCATAACAAGTTCACACGTAATACTTCATTAGAAGAAATCCCTTCCAACACTAGAAATAAGAAAAAAAAAAGATACCCCATCTCAAAAACGTCACATTAACTGTTCCAGAACTTACCTGACGTCACCAGACCCCTGACCGACGGCCGCCAGGGCTGGAATCAGGCCACTGAGGCTCATGCCGATGAAGATGCTGCCCATGTAGTAGGCCTTGAGGTGCGCCATAAAAGCCAGGTAGCACATGGAGGTAGTGGCGGCAAATATAGCCTGGCATAGTGTCAGGCTTAACAGTGTCACGCTGGTGACAGATGACATTATGGGATGTTAGATGGCATATGACATTTAGGGATGTTAGATGGCACAGATGATATTATGGGATGTTAGATGACAGATATGACATTATGGGATGTTAGATGACACAGATGACATGATGGGATGTTTGTTGAAAACAGATGACATTGTGGGATGTCAGATGACATTTAATGATGTTAGATGACATAGATGACATAAGATAAATGATGAAAGATGATATTATGGGATGTTAGATGACATTTAAGGATGTTAGATGCAATATTTGTTGACAGATGACATGATGACAAGTTTGATTACATAGATGACACTGTGGTGTTAGATAGCTTATGTGATATTATTATGTTGACCAAACAGATGACACTATTTGAATTTTGATGACACATTATAATATCCGGCACATGACTTTGTGGAAAGTTTTATAGCACGTGACATTTTAGGAAGGTTTAAGACACATGGCATTATGTGAAGTTTGATGATATATGTCATTATGGGAAGTTGTATGACACTTGACAGTATGTAAAGTTTGATGACACATGACTTTATGTGAAGATTTATAACACATGACATTTTGGGAAGTTCTATGACACATGATGTTTTGTGAAGTATTATGACAAATGGCATTATGACACAGGTGACATAGACGACATCGTGAGAGGCTAAAGCTTTGTTCCTGGCCCACTCACACATTTAAACAGATCGTACCACACACTCACACACACAACCTCATTAACTGTAACCGCACACCAACAACCACACTGTTCTCAATCTACATTAGAAGACAGACTACACGTCATTTTCACACAACTAGTTAACTTTATTACTAACACCACTTCCGAAACGCTTTGCTTTTAACGTTTGGTGTATAGTTAGCATGGCATTACCTCCCTTGTGTCAATTACCCTAGGTCTACACCCCCGTTGCAATTACCACCAAATATATTACCCCTTGTAATTACCTGTAAAATACTTGCTTAGTAAATCTTTTGCAATTAGTCCAATTACTAATGGCGCTATTACATTGGATAATTTATCTCGGTATAATGACTGTGTGTATTGACTGGGGTAATGACCTAGTTAAGTCGTGTATATGTACCATCACCTGTGGTCACCTCCGGCAACAACGGCTGTCCGGTTCCAGAAGAAGGCGTAGAGTGCCGCACACAGAGTCAGTGCCAGGTTGACCAGGAGAGACGTGGGCGTCTCGAACTTCCTATGTGGCACCAGGTACACCAGCAGACTGAACAGGATCGGGCCGAGGTTGCCGCACTGGTAGGTTAAAAAATGTAACAATCAGTGCTTTTTAACTTTTAACTACCAGTTCACACTTCCATTTTTGTTCTTATTGCACGCAATTTTTTAAAATCAATTTTAACAAATTAATAATAAAATAAATACGTAATAAACGTTAAAATAAAAAAATAGTAATAATTTTCCCCCACTTTGAAAAAGATGACGGTACGACGTAGCGGTACGTACCGTCACAACAAAAGCACTGGTAACAATCATGCGTAGTTTAAACTTACTCAGAAATGTAAATTCAAAGCAGCAATAATAATCTTCAGAGATGGCTAAACTCTTAGAGTCAAATAACAAACTCAGTTTTAAAAACCCAACTAGATCTAAGAGTCTTTACAAGTGCAGAATATCTCAATATATATATTTGCTGGATATCGAAACGGTTGTTCTTAAAAGTCGTCCACAAAATTTTATGAAACAAAGGATGGGATTAATATTAATGTTGTAATGGGTACTTCTTCGTTCTTAATTGTTAACACAATTAAGTATTTCCATGTCAATTTTGATTTCAACCTGCTTTCCCGTTAGGATTTGCTTCCAAAACTTTTGCCCATAAAAGAACAACTACAAATCAACAGAACTCGGGACTTTTCGGTTTAGCAACCATAAAGTAAACGCTTCTAACCACGCCAACCCCACAATAGTTAAAAATATAACTTTGCATTGTGATTTAAAATTAAAAGAGTAAGTCTACAGAAACGCAGAGGCGTAGCGATGGGGACGGGGGGGGGGGGCGAGGGGGGACATGTCCCCGGGCGCCGACCTCAGGGGGGGGGGCGCCAAATTGAAAGTTTGAGGGGGGGTGTAAGGAGGGGGGGTGCAAATCGAAAGTTTGAGGGGGGGGGGTGCAAATGAAAAGTTACAAACGGGGGGTGCAAATCGAAAGTTTGTCTCCGGGCGCCGGGTAGGGTCGCTACGCCTCTGCAGAAAAAGACTAAATTTTCCGAAGGGGGGAATAGGAGTGGACACTGTTAAAAGTACTGATATATTTTCTTTTAAACGTATATATCGTTAGGGGCAGAGGAAGTAGAAGTGCTTGATGTGGAGGAGACGGTGTTAACTACTACAGTGTTTTGGAGGATAAACATTCAATGCTCAACACATCCAAAGACTTTACCTGTGAGATGATAGTCAGGTAGGAGGGCAGGGTCCAGCCCTCGGGTAGATCGGCCACAAGGATCGGCAGCTCCACCCACAGGCCGTTCATGATGGACCATGACGTAATCCCAAACAGAACGACCAACACGTGCACGCCAAACTTGGTTCTTTCTTTCTCTGCCACAATCTTCCCCATGGTTTGTTTTTATATCATCAGACTAAAGATGGCAAGTTTTTCGTAGTATCTTCTTAAATATAACTTACTTTAGAAAACAGCTGATGAAATACAACTAACGTTATTGTACAAAGCGTCTGATTAAAGACAGCTTACTGTACAAAGAATCTGGTTAAATACAATATACTCTACAAAATATCTGGTTAAATAAAAGTTACTGTACCAAGTATCTGGTTAAATACAACTTAATGTACAAAATATCTCATTAAAGTCAACAACACACTGTACAAAACATAACATTAAATACAACTTACTTTACAAAACATCAGGTTAAATACAACTTACTGCTAAAAAATCTGATTATAGAAAACTTACTGTATCAAAAGAACTGATCAAAGACAACATACTCTACAAAGTATCTGGTTAAATATAACTTACTGTACAACCTGTCTGATCAATGACAACTTACTGTACAGAACATCAGATTAAAAACAACTTACTTTACAAAACAACAGGTTAAATATAACTTAAATATAACTTACTGTACAAAACAGCTGATTGAAGACAACTTATTGTACAGAATATCTGGTTAAAGACAACTTACTATACAAAACATCAGATTACATACAACTAACTAGACAAAACATGATTAAAGTGTAAATACTATACAAAACATCACAATAAATACAACACACTCTACAAAGTATCTGGTTAAATATAACTTACTGTACCTAACATGAGGTTAAATACAACTTACTGTACAAAATAGACTAAAAACGACACAGCTTTTAAGTAATAGACTAAAGTTTAACAAGACAACCTTCAAGTTATGTACAAAATATCTGACTTAAACAACATAGGTCACGTAGTTTTCAGACTATCAGACGCGTTTATTTTTATACTTTAAAAACAATGGTATCTTTACTAGTCTTTAGCATGTATCTGCACAATGAATGAAATTAAAGACAAATTATTTTTGAACACTACATAAGACTAATGACAACTTACTGTAGAAAACAAACTTAAGACAACTTACTATGTAAAATATCATACTAAGAACTACTTACTTTTTACAATACAAGCTTTACAAAATGTAATTTTACATCAAACGTAAAATATTGTTATTAAAAGCAATATATAGCAAAAAAAAAATGCTACTACTTAATACTCACCCTTGATGCAGTAAATCTAAAGAAATGTACAGCTATTCCTCTTCGTCGGAACGTATGTTTTTAGAAAAATTAAAATCGTTATTTAAACCATTGACTATCATTGCAGTTTTATAAATAGTGTATCATACACAATACATTATATAAAAGTCACATAAATAGTCCATGCCTTTTATTGATTGTTTGATGTTTTCAACTTTAAAACATTATAGTATAAAACATCATTGTATAATCCGTTTTAGTTTTGATAAGAAATACACAAGTTAATTCCTATTGTATACCACCAACTCGACACACTGTTGATATGTGAAAATATTATGTACTCTAAAGTTTGATGTCCATACAAGCAATTTATTCCCATTAACAAGCCTGACCTACTTGATACGGTCTATGCTTGATAGTACCTCTTCACAGGTCAGCACACTTCTTGAAGGCAAACGGGTCAAAGTTTGTATACACACTGAGCACGGCGTGTAGTGTAGAGAGGGTGGTGGACACTGGACAATGGGCTGGTCAAATCGGATTGACGGTTGGTGTAATGGATGTGTAGTGGACACTGGACAATGGGCAGGTTGAATCGCATTGACGGTTGGTGTAATGGATGTGTAGTGGACACTGGACAATGTGCTGGTCAAATCGGATTGACCGTTGGTGTAATGGATGTGTAGTGGACACTGGACAATGTGCTGGTCAAATCGGATTGACCGTTGGTGTAATGGATGTGTAGTGGACACTGGACAATGGGCTAGTCAAATTGACGGCTGGTGTAATGAATGTGTAGTGGACACTGGACAATAGGCTGGTCAAATTGACGGTTGGTGTAATGAATGTGTAGTGGACACTGGACAATGGGCTAGTCAAATTGACGGTTGGTGTAATGCATGTGTAGTGGAACTGGACAATGGGCTGGTCAAATTGACGGTTGGTGTAATGAATGTGTAGTGGACACTGGACAATGTGCAGGTCGAATCGGATTGACGGTTGGTGTATTGGATGTGTAGTGGACACTGGACAATGGACAATGGGCTGGTCAAATCGGATTGACGGGTGGTGTATTGGATGTGTAGTGGACACTGGACAATGTGCAGGTCGAATCGGATTGACGGTTGGTGTAATGGATGTGTAGTGGACACTGGACAATGGGCTGGTCAAATTGACGGTTGGTGTAATGCATGTGTAGTGGACACTGGACATTAGGCTGGTCAAATTGCATTGACGGTTGGTGTAATGAATGTGTAGCCTGACACGCTGTCGTGGAGTCTAGGCGGTGATGGTGTGGTGTTGGCATTCGTGGGTTAAACTAGAACCCAAGGAATTATATTTTTATTCATTAAGATTGATAAAATATCTTAACGTATAATTAAACATCTTGGGTTTAGTTAAATGCGCTCATTTTGATAATATTTTAAATATGTTATCAATTATTGATATTTTTTAAAGCGATTATAGAAATAACGTGAAATAATATATAATAATTCTACACCAGATATAAAGCTTCCCGTTTCTAGTTCATCTCGGGCCTACTAACTTGTACTGATATAGCATACTCGAACAACGAGTCTTTCCTATCAGATACTAGGCGACCTTTTATGTTCTATATTATTTTATCAGGAATACTTTGTCCTGCTTGGAAGTGACTGCCGTGAGAGGAGGGGGGGGGGGTAGCCGCTGAGAGTGGGGTACGTACAGCCTCTAGACACTGCTTCTCGGGTTAGCAAGCGGGTATTTTGAAATTATACCGCGTCGTTATGTGATCTATCGAATATAGATAATAAAAAGGAGTGCCGAACATATACACTGTAGCTAGAACTTTTATGTGTACTTACCAACTATAATTTCTCCGCAAGCTTGATTGGCTCAGCGACCCACTCTAAACCATGATTGTCTATTTTACATGAGTGAATCATCATACAAGATATTCACAATATATTGGATGCCTTTTCGATGTATATATCACTTTGGTGGCTGGACAATTATTTTTTTATGAAAAAAAAGCATTTAAAATTTTTAAATTGAAATTTTTTAGCATTAAATTATATTATACAGCTGGCAAAGTTATATCATCTTAAAGAGTTACCATTCTACTTTCTAAATCAATTGTCTATAGATTCGTATGTGTTATGGGTACGGACCGCCGAGAGTTGCCGAAACGCAACAAACAAACAAACAAACAAAATTAAAAACCAGCGTAAATGTTTTCGGCTCAATTTGAATACCTACTACAAGCCATAGTTGTCTATCTTGAATGAGTGAATCAGTATAAAATATGTTTACAAGGTAGACAACCTACTACATCCACGACAAAACGTCGGTTATCACAGACTTTATCAACTTTACTTCATGTACTTTAGCCTTAATTAATCTACTAGAACAAAAACAGGCCTACTTAAAAATAAAGCGTAATTTTAAAAACGACAGCAAGCAGTGTGTACTATTATACGTTAATTAAACAAAACAAAATAAATCTCCTGTAACAGATTACATTTTAAAATAAATGTCCTAACGTTCTGGTATGAAATAGACATGATTTATCTATCTCAATAACACTACAGGGTGACCGCAAGGGACCATAGCCTGCGTGTTAAAACCACAACTTGGTCGCAAACGCTACTTGCAAACAAAAATTCATTAATGCCTAGGCGCGTTATGTTTTATATATAAAGACATTGGGATTTTTAAAGCTACAGATTCAAAAATTACAAAATATAAAAACCCAGAGTAAATTAAATCCTACGCTTTAAGATTTATCTTTGTTGTTTTGCAATACCGAACCATGTTGTGAATATAATTGCATAATCGTGCTAAATTATTTTTTATAGAAATAGAGAAATCCATCTGACATTTAGACAACATACACACAAACACAAATAAATGGAAGATTAGCATTCGCACTGTCGCAACGCGATATTTCAGTGAATTATGGATAAAGATTTCAAACCACGCCCCCCCCCCCCCATTCCTCACTTTCTTCCAATTTATAATGTTGCACGTGCAATGTGTGAAATTTATCAGCGCTGGTTAATGAGACAAATAGAAGTAGCGCTAACTGGTAAACTAATCCTTTACATTTCATCACAAATTACACTTTGTCAATGATCGAACCAAACTACGTCAAATTATTTCTGACACTCGGTTTCAGTTTCTACAGAAAATTTGATAATTGGAGTTCAAAATTATTGACTGTTTTGTTTGATTGGTGTAGATCTCATTAGATGCACAGCGGTGCTAAATGGGTCTAATGTTACATGATGTGTTCCACCCTGAATGTAATGTAGAGAGTCACATGATGTATACCATCCCATATGTTAGTAGGATGTATCGCATCACACATGTAAGTGTAAAAATCACATAATCTATCACATCCAAGATGTAATTATAGGATGTTCCATGCTATATCACACATCAGATTAGACATAAATGTCAAATATTAAATCACATCCCAGATGTAAGTATAAATGCCAATTGATGTAAATCAAATCCCGGGCAGGAATTTGTGAAATTTACATAATCTATGACATCACAGTTGTAAGTATAGATATCACATGATGTATCAAATCTTACCAAACCCGGACATTTAAAAAAATGTTTCATCAGTACAGTTTTAACTATCCTACAATAGTCATAAATAGCTGAGCAATGCTTTCTTCTTCTTCTTTCTTGATTTTAGTGTTGGAAAGGAAACCCTGGTTATGCACCATATAGGTAGATGACTCCGATTTCAGCCTGGTTTTCTTTTAAGATTTGCATTTCATAGCATTTGTCCAACCTAGAACAAACTACAAGGCAGCAGTTGTTTGATTTTGGAGTTGCTGTTCCCAACCATGAGCTTTACCGACTCGACCACGCTGACCCCTCTGAGAAATACTAAATCCCTTCATATTATGTGACATGTTCCCTCTCAAGTAGAATGTGATATTTAAACACGGTGCAGGGATGAGAAACATCGTGATGTCAACATCATTTTGAATAGCATCACATTTTTTTAAATTATTCGTCTAACAAAATTAATTCGCACAACTCGAACACATCACTTGCAATTTATCGCTTTGGTTTCAGTTTCACTCCCCCTCCACCCCAACCCCCTCTTATTACAACTCTCAAATGTCACACGTGTCATTTAATGATGAAATATTAATCATTAATCAGCGGTATCGTTACTCTACGGAGCATTATTTTCTCTATAAATATCACAGCCATTTGTTTTATCTTCTACTCTCTTGAGATGGCTCGCTACTTACACTGCTTGTGTACAGCTTTTATTCAGACTTTTATAAACAACAACATGTAAGTTAGCCATTTTTGTTCTACAATTTGTGTTAAAGATTTAAACAAAAAAAAATTCAAAATTGAATATATATTTATGACAAAATATTTGTAAGGGCAAATGAAGGTTTATATAATTATTTTATTTTCCACTTGTTAGTTATTCGTTCGAAATGTAGTGGACACCACAAGTAAAGTTAAAAGTAAAGTTTCACTGTCAAACCTGTCGGTCTATGGGGCAAGTGAAGTAAAATTCACTCTGTGACCTCGGCATATGAAGAGATAGTGTGGTCACTATGCTCAACCGCCTTTACTTTCCTTAACGTGAGTTAGGTACCCTTCAGAGTAGGGTGGACTCAGGGACGATCTACTGACTTGAACCCGGATACGAACACGTGATTTACGGGTTAGCAGTCCAGCTCCGTACCGCTAGACCACTCAGACCCGCCACCACAAATAAGACTAAAAATATTTGCGTTAAAGCTCAGTGGTTTGTGATCTCTAGTAGAGAGTTAACTGCCTCTACTTCGTTTATAGTCAACATGCGACGTGAAATCAACCAGCCGTGACACTTCACCCACCACTGCCCCCTGATCGTTAGCTTGTGTTTTACAAAACATTTTGTAAAGACGAAAAATATTTCTCTTTTCTAAACGGAAACTATTTTTTGAAAGAAATAATCCTGTTTTTACTAGCTTTTATTTAGTTGGCTCAGTTTATTTGTTTGTTTGTTTGTTTGTTTTTTAGTGGATTTGAGGCAAATCTTGTAACTCAAACTTGACCTACTTTTAATAGAACTGTGTCGTTTGTTTTTCTACGCTGTGTTTAATTAGAGAGACAATTTTTCAAAACTACAACATTCAAGTTAATAGAGGATACCAAAAGAAAAAATGTCTGTGCGTCTAGTCTGTGTGTCTGTTTCTGTGTATCTGTGTGTCTATGTGTCTATGTGTCTGTGTGTCTGTGTCTGTGTGTCAGTCTGTCTGTCCGCCCGTCCGTCCGTCCGTCTGTCTATCTGTCTGTCTATGTCTGTCTGTCTGTCTGTCTGTCTGTCTGTCTGTCTGTCTGTCTGTCTGTCTGTCTGTCTGTCTGTCTGTCTGTCTGTCTGTCTGTCTGTCTGTCTGTCTGTCTGTCTGTCTGTCTGTCTGTCTGTCTGTCTGTCTGTCTGTCTGTCTGTCTGTCTGTCTGTCTGTCTGTCTGTCTGTCTGTCTGTCTGTCTGTCTGTCTGTCTGTCTGTCTGTCTGTCTGTCTGTCTGTCTGTCTGTCTGTCTGTCTGTCTGTCTGTCTGTCTGTCTGTCTGTCTGTCTGTCTGTCTGTCTGTCTGTCTGTCTGTCTGTCTGTCTGTCTGTCTGTCTGTCTGTCTGTCTGTCTGTCTGTCTGTCTGTCTGTCTGTCTGTCTGTCTGTCTGTCTGTCTGTCTGTCTGTCTGTCTGTCTGTCTGTCTGTCTGTCTGCCTGCCTGCCTGCCTGCCTGCCTGCCTGCCTGCCTGCCTGCCTGCCTGCCTGCCTGCCTGCCTGCCTGCCTGCCTGCCTGCCTGCCTGTCTGTCTGTCTGTCTGTCTGTCTGTCTGTCTGTCTGTCTGTCTGTCTGTCTGTCTGTCTGTCTGTCTGTCTGTCTGTCTGTCTGTCTGTCTGTCTGTCTGTCTGTCTGTCTGTCTGTCTGTTGTTTTTTTTTTTCTACGAGATTTTATTCTATTTTAAAAAGTTTAAGAATTTAAAAAAGATTAAAATTCATATCTATATCCCGAGTTCTCATCTACTGTTTTTTATAGAAGAATATTCGAGAAAGTTTAGGGGAGATCACTCCCGGTTTATTTTATCCTATGACTTTTTTCCGTTCACCGAGATAGACACGCCTCTGTCGCATTTGGGTGCCGTGAGGAAGGGGTCGCACTACACCTAACAAAGAAGTTCACACATGCTGCTGCCATTGGTCATATATATATATATATATATATATATATATATATATATATATATATATATATATATATATATATAAAGAGAGAGAGAGAGAGAGAGGGGGGGGGGCAAACATTTTTTTGCGAAGTGGCCCATTTTTTTGTTTTTCCACTGGGTAACATCAACGATTAATAATTGAAAGTCATGTCTATGTCCCAAGTTAGCATTCCTTGAAATGTTATTTAAGGATATTCCAGAAAGTTTAGAGAGATCACACCCGATTTATTTTTAAAGAAAATAATTTAAAAACGTTTTTAATGCACTTTTACTTTCTCGTATACAGAGTATAGATGAAGTATTGTAATCGTGCACAAAAATCACATGAAATTTTGACAGCTTTCACCGATGTAACCTCAGTACTTCATCACATACAGAGTATAAGGAACTTTGTTTAATCGTTAAAAAATTCTAAACCTAGATTTATCAAAATTTCTGCGTTTTATGCGTATACGAGTAAAAAAAAACTGGGTTTTGTAATTCTGTCCATGGTGTATGTGTATGTGTGTCTGTAAACACGATAACTTAATTTCCATTACAGCTAAGTAGATGCTAAGTAGATATAAGTATTATATCAAATTTGTATTTCTATATTAACTTTTTAGCTATTTCCGATAACCGGAAGTCAGACTTATACTACTTTTAGTTGTTCAAAAGACTATAACCTGAGTACTATTTCACATAGATAAACTAAGTTTAATCTATATTTAAAAGAACTAATGTTTTGCCTTCTGTCAAATTGTAAGTAATTTCCGTTGAATGGAAGTAATATTATACGTTATTTCCGATTTCTCAAAAAACGCATGTGAATGTATTATGTACTAATAATATTTCGCATTTGCCATTTACTTAATGTGCAATTATTTTTTTCTACAAGATTATTTTCTATTTTTAAAAGTTTAAGTAATTAAAAATGGATTAAAAATCATGTCTTTATCCCGCGTTTCCATCCCCCGTTGTGTTATTTAAGAATATATGAGAAAGTTTAGGGAGATCGCTACTGGTTTATTAAAAGAATGCGACGGTACACTTGTATAAATATCAACAACAATTTAATTATTTGAAGTTATATATTATTTTATTTTCCATGCTAGATACATCTCAGTGTTTTAAAGATGTGAAGGAAATTCATTTCTCCAGAGAATATTAATTCCTTTCTACTGTGCAGTGATAAAATGCCTTTCCATTTACATTCGAACAGTAACACCTTTGAGGCCAAATGACATTTGTGTTTCCGATAGTGAAGAGCTGATAAAAGAATCAATACAAAAACAAGATCTTCAGTATAATCAGCAACATATTCTTTGATGCCTTATCTTATTAGTTCTAGGCAATAATATTTTATGAAACAAGATGAAATACAATGTTTTTATATCCATGAAAGAAAATATGGTGTTATTATTTTAAAATGTTTATAAGATTGAAATATCGAAACATTTTCAACCCCGGTAATTTTTTTAGTGAGTAAAATTGAGAAACACGGCTAGAAGCACACAAGAATAGCTAAAGTGCAATTACTTGAGATTTGTCAGTAATTAATCCCATTATTCGTCAAGTGTACATTTTTCTGCATTTCTTGAAACGTATGCTTTTGTTATATTGTGTTTTAAAATGACCAAATTCAAAATGTAATTACAACTGTGATTCTAGTATGTTGACTTACTGTGTTATCATTTAATATTAAGTGCCTGAAAGAATTCTATGTACTGTGAGTAATATTAAACTACGAGCTGACTCGTGACGTAGTATACGCCGCCATCTAGTTGTTTTATTTTCAGCTTATCACCAATTCATAATTTGTTAATTCAACACTACCCCCTCCTCCCCCCCCCTACCCCTCCCGCCCAGTGAATGCATTCACAGACAAAGAAAAGATCAATCATAAATTGTTACTTCCCCTTCGTTTCAAATCGTTTAATACTAATAAATCTGCCCCTAACCCGGCTCTCCGATTGTACACATACGGGGTGAACCACAGCTCACCTGACAAATGGGAATGAGGGTGGTGGCTAAGCTGTGTGGTGTTTTATAATGTCTCTACGAAGAGAATTATATATACGAGCCAACCCGCGGCGTATCATACGCCGCTATTTAGTTATTTTATTTTCTACTTTTTAGTAATTCATAATTTGTGAATTTGAGGGTACCAATGATGCAACTGAAAATATTTGCTTTAAAACACTATCGGCAGCTAGTTAAAAAAGATAACCCCCCTCAACCCCCCCCCCCCCCCCCCCCCCCAATGAAAGTTTGCTTCCCTAAGTTTAAAATCATTTAATACTAAATTATCTGCCCTTAATAGCCGTCACTAAACCCGGCTCTACGATTGCAAACATTTAGCGTGAACCACAGAGAGAAAGAGAGGGGGCTGCTAGGCGCGCTTACAGCTTGGTGTTTTCCTTGGTCTCCAAGAAGAGAATTATATATATAGATAGATACGACTTTACATGAAACATACCAATTTATGCTAAATTAAAGCATACCTTTCAGTTGTAAATATAGAACAATTTAATACAATGAAGTTATAAGAGAAGTACGCTACATACTTGTCCTTCTTTCTCGCAAAGGGCTCCTGTGGCTTGACTCACGCCGCAAAGTGTGAGTAACATCAGGATGAGAATAATTTTCATGTTGATATCTAGTGGATGATAGTTTACAGAACTTCATTTAGCACTCAAGTTATTGAGCAAAATACAACTCCTATATCTAGAACTAGGGGTCAGCTTTTTACAGACTGAGAACGTCAACCGATTTCAAATATTTTCGGAAGAAATTTAGTATCTACGCTTCGGTCACTAGTAAAATCTATGTAAAATCTTACCTGGCTGATCAAAATCTCTGACGTCTCGAATAGAATGTAAAGATCGTGTAATGGGGTGTCCAAGGTTCCACTATAAATACTCTCAAGCCTGATCGTTTATTCAAATTAGTACGCCAACGCGCATTGGTGTTTACTTAGCGTGTCAAGTTACTATGGTAATTAGGAATGGATTGGCTGTGTCCAAGGGTTCCTGGGCATTTTTAAAAGGGCCCCCGACCCCCAGGGTTCTTTAAAAAATATTTTTTTTAATTTCGCAATGGCGGCGCCATGGGAGCGTCCGATTTTTCTCTATATACGGTATATAAAAATAATAAAAGTGAATTGCAGTGACACCGTTCATCCGATAGGCATGAAACTTTGGGGAGTTCACTATAAAACTGTAGGGAAGGGTTCTGTAAAAAATAATTTTTAATTTCGCAATGGCGGCGCCACGGGAGGGTGCGATTTTTCTCTACATACGGTACATAAAAATAAAAGTCGATTTGTGTGACACCGTTATCCGATAGACATGAGACTTTGAGGGAGTGGATTAGAACAATTTAGGGAAGGGTTCTGTAAAAAAAAATCCTTTTTAATTTTCGCAAGGGCGGCGCCACGGGAGGGTGCGATTTTTCTCTATATACGGTATATAAAAATAAAAGTCGATTTTGGTGTGACACCGTTATCCGATAGACATGAGACTTTGAGGGAGTGGATTAGAACAATTCAGGGAAGGGTTCTGTAAAAAAAAATCCTTTTTTTAATTTCGCAAGGGCGGCGCCACGGGAGGCTGCGATTTTTCTCTATATACGGTTTATAAAATTTCGGTTTCACACTGTTCATCTGTGTACCATGAAACTTTGGGGAGATGATTAGATCACTCAATGGTAGGGTTCTGCAAAAAAATATTGTTTAATATTGCAAGGGCGGCGCGCCCGGGGGTGGGTGCGATTTTAAAACACTATAAAACTATATGTGAGTTCAGATACTATGGTGGTAATTGAGCTCTAATACAAAGTTTACTAAGTGGGCTAGTATCTAATAATACTTTGAGGACTCTGGTGAAAGAGGTGGTGTATAGCCATAACAGTTGTGTCAAAGGAATTTGTGTGGGCGATTGTACACAGATGAGTTGTGGGATATGCACAGATGGAACTATTCAAACCCATTTCAGTATCGCGTGTATCGCTTGTTTCGTTTGACAACCGTGATGCGCACCATTGCTTAAAACTTCTGAACAATAGACCTAAATAGTTGCTAATTATCATTTTATATTACATTTTGATCATAGACCAACAGTAAAGAAAGATACGTTCCCGCATCCCTGCTCAGCAGAGCGCTTTAAGATCAAACTGATAAAAAACACGTTTTTAGTACCTCGCCATCTGGTTAGCATAATATTCGGGCAGTTTAGTCACAAGCCCCGAACCTGGGTTTTTCTCTAGCAAGACACCACTGTTTGCACCACCAGTCATTAAGATAAGAGGAAAATTACACATAACACCATGCCAGTAATTTCATCAAAATTATGTTTTGTTTCTTACGTTTATGTGTTTTTTTTTTACTTTCTCGTTTATACGAAGTATAGAGAAAGTCTTGTAATCGAGAGAAAAAGTTCAAGATTTGTGCAAATCTCGACGTTTTACACCTCACTGATACGGAAAACATAATTTTGCAATCTTGTCCGTATGTCTGTGTGTCTGTCTGTCTGTCTGTGTGTGTGTGTGTGTCCCCGTGTGTAAACACGATAACTTGAGTACCGTTACAGCTAGGTTGATGTAATTTCATATATAAGTATTTTATCAAAATCGTAGATACGTATCAACTTTTGAGCGATTTCCGATAACTGGAAGTGGTACTTATCCTACTTTGAATTTTTCAAAAGCCTATAACTTGAGCATTATCTCAGATAGATAAATGAAATTTCACATGTAAGTAAAAGATCTAATTCTCTACCTTCTGTTAAATTTTGAGTAATTTCCGTTGACCGGAAGTAGTAATTTACGCTACTTCCGATTTCTTTAAAAAAACAAATGTAAATTTTTAAAGTACTAATTATATTGCGCACTATTATGCACTTTTTTTATTTGGCGCTCACTTGGTGTGCAATTCTTTTGTCTACGAGATTTTATTCTATTTTTAAATCTTTAAGTATTTAAAATGGATTAAAAATCAAGTCTATAGCCCGAGTTCCCATCCCCTGTTATTTTATATAAAAATATTCGAGAAAGTTTAGGGGAGATCACTCCCGGTTTATTTACTTTGAATTTCCGTCGCACAAGCGGAACAAAGTTGTCCTGAGAGACACAGGGGCTTCACAGTCGCTTCTACTGAAGGACTCGATGGACATTGCACCGGAAACTAATACCGGCGATGTTACCATTATTCAAGGAGTGGGGGCAGATCCCACTGTAATCCCACTGCATAAACCTTAAACCTTAAACCTTAAACCTTAAACCTTAAACCTTAAACCTTAAACCTTAAACCTTAAACCTTAAACCTTAAACCTTAAACCTTAAACCTTAAACCTTAAACCTTAAACCTTAAACCTTAAACCTTAAACCTTAAACCTTAAACCTTAAACCTTAAACCTTAAACCTTAAACCTTAAACCTTAAACCTTAAACCTTAAACCTTAAACCTTAAACCTTAAACCTTAAACCTTAAAACCTTAAACCTTAAACCTTAAACCTTAAACCTTAAACCTTAAACCTTAACCCTTAACCCTTAACCCTTAACCCTTAACCCTTAACCCTTAACCCTTAACCCTTAACCCTTAACCCTTAACCCTTAACCCTTAACCCTTAACCCTTAACCCTTAACCGTTAACCCTTCAACCTTCAACCTTCAACCTTCAACCTTCAACCTTCAACCTTCAACCTTCAACCTTCAACCTTCAACCTTCAACCTTCAACCTTCAACCTTAAACCTTAAACCTTAAACCTTAAACCTTAAACCCTCAACCCTCAACCCTCAACCCTCAACCCTCAAACCTCAACCCTCAACCCTCAACCCTCAACCCTCAACCCTCAACCTTCAACCTTCAACCTTCAACCTTCAACCTTCAACCTTCAACCTTCAACCTTCAACCTTCAACCTTCAACCTTCAACCTTCAACCTTCAACCTTCAACCTTCAGCCTTCAGCCTTCAGCCTTCAGCCTTCAGCCTTCAGCCTTCAGCACTCAGCCTTCAGCCTTCAGCCTTCAGCCTTCAGCCTTCAGCCTTCAGCCTTCAGCCTTCAGCCTTCAGCCTTCAGCCTTCAGCCTTCAACCTTCAGCCTTCAGCCTTCAACCTTCAACCTTCAACCTTCAACCTTCAACCTTCAACCTTCAACCTTCAACCTTCAACCTTCAACCTTCAACCTTCAACCTTCAACCTTCAACCTTCAACCTTCAACCTTAAACCTTAAACCTTAAACCTTAAACCTTAAACCTTAAACCTTAAACCTTAAACCTTAAACCTTAAACCTTAAACCTTAAACCTTAAACCTTAAACCTTAAACCTTAAACCTTAAACCTTAAACCTTAAACCTTAAACCTTAAACCTTAAACCTTAAACCTTAAACCTTAAACCTTAAACCTTAAACCTTAAACCTTAAACCTTAAACCTTAAACCTTAAACCTTAAACCTTAAACCTTAAACCTTAAACCTTAAACCTTAAACCTTAAACCTTAAACCTTAAACCTTAAACCTTAAACCTTAAACCTTAAACCTTAAACCTTAAACCTTAAACCTTAAACCGTAAACCGTAAACCGTAAACCGTAAACCTTAAACCTTAAACCTTAAACCTTAAACCTTAAACCTTAAACCTTAAACCTTAAACCTTAAACCTTAAACCTTAAACCTTAAACCTTAAACCTTAAACCTTAAACCTTAAACCTTAAACCTTAAACCTTAAACCTTAAACCTTAAACCTTAAACCTTAAACCTTAAACCTTAAACCTTAAACCTTAAACCTTAAACCTTAAACCTTAAACCTTAAACCTTAAACCTTAAACCTTAAACCTTAAACCTTAAACCTTAAACCTTAAACCTTAAACCTTAAACCTTAAACCTTAAACCTTAAACCTTAAACCTTAAACCTTAAACCTTAAACCTTAAACCTTAAACCTTAAACCTTAAACCTTAAACCTTAAACCTTAAACCTTAAACCTTAAACCTTAAACCTTAAACCTTAAACCTTAAACCTTAAACCTTAAACCTTAAACCTTAAACCTTAAACCTTAAACCTTAAACCTTAAACCTTAAACCTTAAACCTTAAACCTTAAACCTTAAACCTTAAACCTTAAACCTTAAACCTTAAACCTTAAACCTTAAACCTTAAACCTTAAACCTTAAACCTTAAACCTTAAACCTTAAACCTTAAACCTTAAACCTTAAACCTTAAACCTTAAACCTTAAACCTTAAACCTTAAACCTTAAACCTTAAACCTTAAACCTTAAACCTTAAACCTTAAACCTTAAACCTTAAACCTTAAACCTTAAACCTTAAACCTTAAACCTTAAACCTTAAACCTTAAACCTTAAACCTTAAACCTTAAACCTTAAACCTTAAACCTTAAACCTTAAACCTTAAACCTTAAACCTTAAACCTTAAACCTTAAACCTTAAACCTTAAACCTTAAACCTTAAACCTTAAACCTTAAACCTTAAACCTTAAACCTTAAACCTTAAACCTTAAACCTTAAACCTTAAACCTTAAACCTTAAACCTTAAACCTTAAACCTTAAACCTTAAACCTTAAACCTCAAACCTCAAACCTCAAACCTCAAACCTCAAACCTTAAACCTCAAACCTTAAACCTCAAACCTCAAACCTCACACCTTACACCTTACACCCTACACCTTACACCTTACACCTTAGACCTTACACCTTAGACCTTAGACCATAGACCTTACACCTTACACCTTACACTTTACACCTTACACCTTACACCTTACACCTTACACCTTACACCTTAAACCTCAAACCTCAAACCTCAAACCTCAAACCTCATACCTCAAACCTTAAACCTCAAACCTCAAACCTCAAACCTCAAACCTCAAACCTCAAACCGTAAACCTTAAACCTTAAACCTTAAACCTTAAACCTTAAACCTTAAACCTTAAACCTTAAACCTTAAACCTTAAACCTTAAACCTTAAACCTTAAACCTTAAACCTTAAACCTTAAACCTTAAACCTTAAACCTTAAACCTTAAACCTTAAACCTTAAACCTTAAACCTTAAACCTTAAACCTTAAACCTTAAACCTTAAACCTTAAACCTTAAACCTTAAACCTTAAACCTTAAACCTTAAACCTTAAACCTTAAACCTTAAACCTTAAACCTTAAACCTTAAACCTTAAACCTTAAACCTTAAACCTTAAACCTTAAACCTTAAACCTTAAACCTTAAACCTTAAACCTTAAACCTTAAACCTTAAACCTTAAACCTTAAAGCGACCTTGTCTCCCTCTGTGTGTGTCTGTGTTTGTGCGTGTCTTGTTGTGTGTTCATGTGTATGTGTGTTTGTTGGTATATGCGTCTTTTGAACAATTTTCGACAACCGGAAGGGGTGCTTTATTAGAGGAAAAAATATAACTTTAGTACTGTTTCAGTTAGGTTGCCAAAATTTCAAATAAAAATATAAGATTTTATCCTTGGAATAATTTCAATTTTTGAATGACCTCCGACATCCGGAAGTGGTAATCTATCTTATTTCTTGTTTCCAAAATATCGATAACTTAGGTACCTTTTCAGTTAGCTGTGCGCAATTTGATACATAGGTCACCGAATTTTTCGCTGGTTGTTTTCAAATTTCAAGTGATTTTTGGAGACTGTTAAGAAGCACATTACGTTATTCCATGTCTTATGTGTCTGTGTTTTTGCGTGTGTTGCTACGAAAAAAGCAAATGTCACCACACTCTCTTTTATATCACCACACATTTTTTTTTCATTTCACCACACAAACTTTTCAAGCCATTACACACACATTCTGTAACCCCATACACAATTTTAAAAACACCAAGCGGCACTTCTTATTGTGTGTTTTTTTTTTTATCTAAATCAAAACCAAAACCTAAATCTTAAACTAAATCTATCCAAACAGGAAGTTGAATCGGAAACAAAAAAACAGAAAATATATCCAGAACAGTGACCAAAGCTGAAAGTAAACTTGAAACCTAGCCAGAAAGTTAACCGGAACTGGATCTTTAAATCGTATCTGAACCTTTAACCAAAACCATAAATTTCAACGTGTACCAGAACAGAAAAAAATAATGGTAACCTGAAATTCCTTTAGAAAGAAAACTTTTATCCGAACTGAAATCGGAGCGTTAACCACAACCGATGATTGAAAACGAAATGTTAAAGGGAATCGGAAATTTAATTGGAGTCGCCTATTTAAAAGGAATGGAAACTTTAACTGGAAGTGAACGTTGTGTTTGAAATGCAAAACTCTTCAGTAGAACTGAAAATTGAAACAGAAAAAGCAATTTAACAGGAATTGTTACTTTAACCAGTATAAAAACTTCAAACGGAGCTGAAATCGAAGTCGGAAATATCACTTAAACCGCAGGCGAAACTTTGACCTCAACTGGATTTTATTGGGTCTTCAAACGGAACTGAAATTTAACTGAGCCTGTTAGAATAACAGGAAAACAAGCTTTAACCGAAATCGGAATCTAAAACTTAAACTAAACTGCAACATGAACTTTAATCGAAACCTAAACACGAACTTTAACCTAATCTTGAAGCTTTACCGGAATCGGAACCATGACTATAGTCATGTGGTCGGATGTTGGAGATTACCATGGTGATTGCTAACCCGAAAGTCTCGAGTTCGAATCTATGCCTTAAGGCTGTAGGGTGTACCACTAAGCTATGATAAGTAGGCCTACCTCACTAATTCAATAGAAACTAGGCTCACTGGCGTAGTGTGCACAACTTTATCCATATGTGTGCTGAAGTCATGGAGTCAGATTACCTCTACTTCATCGGCTGTATGTGTCTTGGCCGTACGGGAAACATTGAAGATAAACCCTAATCCTAATGTGTTTCTTTTCTCTCTAGAAATTACATACCAAATCTTAAATTAAAACAAAAATCAAAACCTAAATCTAAACATAGAAGTAATCCAAACCTAAAACCTAATCGTAATCGTAACCGTAATCGTATTGGGTAATTTAGAACATTTAAACTAAAAAATATGGAGAAATTCACATAGCCAAAAAAACAATAATAAAGGTGTGCACTCAGGAGGGTACACTGAATAGATTATAAGTGAAATCTCCCAAAAGAAGGTTTTCCATCCAGCTATGGCAAATAACACAACGCAATTGGTTTTCAATGCACTCTGGATTATGACCATCGTTTTTTTTTTTAATCCAGTCCTAGAACTTTTGATTACGTAGGAACCCTCTTTGCACTTTTCGAATGCAGAAACGATCGTGCATTTATTCGTCTGAATGCTAACTGATCCATATATGTCATCTCATTAGTCCTGCTAATCAAAACATGCAGCCGCCAAGCATTAGAAATGGCCATATCCAGTAAATAAGTAATGATAACGCGCGACCATTTTTTTCCTCTAATAAACACTCGGTACAAATTGATGAATTGATCCATTTGGTCGACACCACCCATTCCTTTGTTATAATTTATTATAAGTCTCGGGATATTGAAATCAACCTTTTGCTTCCGAGCATTACACCACCTTTGTACTTTCTCGTATATACGAAGTATAGAGAAAGTATTGTAATAGTGCAAAAAATCTCTTGAAATTTTAACAATTTTCACCGTATTACACCTCAGTCCTTCATCACATCCGAAGTATAGAGGACTTATTTTAATCGGGCAAAAATTATCAATCCAGATTTATCAAAATTAAGAGGTTTTATGCGTAATCCATTCTGAAAAACTGGGCTTTGCAATCCTGTCCGTATCTGTGTGTGTGTGTCTATCTGTGTGTCTGTGTGTGTGTAAACACGATTACTTGAGTGCCGTTACAGCTAGGTTGATGAAATTTCATATATAAGTATTTTATCAAAATCGTAGATCCGTATCAACTTTTGAGCGATTTCCGATAACTTTTGAGCGATTTCCGATAATCGGAAGTGGTACTTTTTCTACTTTGAATTTTTCAAAAGCCTATAACTTGAGTACTATTTCAGATAGATAAATGAAATTTCACATGTAAGTAAAAGATCTAATTCTCTACCTTCTGTTAAATTTTGAGTAATTACCGTTGACCGTAAGTAGTAATTTACTCTACTTCCAATTTCTCAAAAAACTAATGTAAATTTTTTAAGTACTGATAATATTGCGCACTATTATGCAATTTTTTTATTTGGCGTTCACTTGGTGTGCAATTCTTTTGTCTACGAGATTTTATTCTATTTTTAAAACTTTAAGTATTTAAAATGGATTAAAAGTCA